TTTTTTTTTTTGTTCTGTTTTGTTTTGTTTTTTAATTTTTTTTTTTTTTTTGGAATTTTTCTTTCTGTTATTAAATTTTTTTTTTTTTTTGCAAGGATATATGAGTATTTCTTTGTCTGTATCTTTCTGCTGTATTTGAAGAAATGCTGAATATTTTTTTTTTTTTTTTTTCCCTGGTGGGCTGATGGACTGTGATTTTTTTTTTTTTTTTCAGCCAACTGCAGCAGCTGTTCCCTTTTTTTTTTTTTTTAGGTTTGGCGAGAGCAGTGGAAGAGTTTTTTTTTTTTTTTCGTTCACTAGAAGCAAGAGGGAGAATTTTTTTTTTTTTTTTACTTCGTCGTCTCTCAAGTCCTCATTTTTTTTTTTTTTTGCTGCGGGGTACTGTGGAGCTGGCATTTTTTTTTTTTTTTACACGACTGAGTAGAAAGAGCACACTTTTTTTTTTTTTTTTGGGCCCCACAGCAATTGCCCTTACTTTTTTTTTTTTTTTTGAGCATTTGATGATTTACTTGCCTTTTTTTTTTTTTTTTCCTAATATTCTTTTTGATAATGAAGTTTTTTTTTTTTTTTAAACATTATAGAGAATGGCATAGGATTTTTTTTTTTTTTTACCACCATGCTTAACAAACGCTTTCTTTTTTTTTTTTTTTTTGATCTCTTTGAAGAGCTCTTTGGTTTTTTTTTTTTTTTTCCCTGTTTGGCCCACATTACCCTTTTTTTTTTTTTTTTTTGAATGACTCCTATGTCAGACTCTTTTTTTTTTTTTTTTTCTAATGAACTAGAACCTAAGATTGTTTTTTTTTTTTTTTTTGGGGGATTATGTGACGTCAGCATCTTTTTTTTTTTTTTTGAGTTTGGCTCCAGCTGTAGAATAAGGCTGTTGATGTTTAATCCACTCTGTTTTTTCCATACAGGTTTTTTTTTTTTTTTCAACCTGTGCTGGCTATCACAGATCTTTTTTTTTTTTTTTCAGTGCTAGTGAAAGAATGTTATTCTTTTTTTTTTTTTTTGAGGGTAAGCATCCAGTTTTTGAAATTTTTTTTTTTTTTTATTGATTAAATTTTTATTTTAAAATTTTTTTTTTTTTTTTGACAGTTACCGAAAAAAAATGTCAGTTTTTTTTTTTTTTTACTTCATACTGTCCCACCTAATGGTAACATCGTGCAATCATGCATAACTGTAAATACGGTATATCTTTTTTTTTTTTTTTCAGGAAATTGACATTGATACTGTTGTTTTTTTTTTTTTTTATTTCACCAGTTTTATGTGCCCTCATTTTTTTTTTTTTTTGTGTGTAGTTCTGTGCAAATTTATCTTTTTTTTTTTTTTTTGCAACGACCAGCATGATCAAGAGGTTTTTTTTTTTTTTTACCATATGGCTCCCTCCTGCTATACTTTTTTTTTTTTTTTTTTTCTCTGACAGGGTCTATATCAGTTTTTTTTTTTTTTTTTTTTTTTTTTTGAGGAGGTCAGCATTTTTTTTTTTTTTTTTCTGGATTTTGCTTTTGGTGTCAATTTTTTTTTTTTTTTACTTAGCCCTCCTTCCTATATTGCTTTTTTTTTTTTTTTTTCTTTATTTTATTTATTATACTTTATTTTTTTTTTTTTTTGTGCACAGTGTGCAGGTTTGTTACATTTTTTTTTTTTTTTCATGTTGGTTTGCTGCACCCATCAATTTTTTTTTTTTTTTAGGTATTTCTCTTTCCCCAGCCCCATTTTTTTTTTTTTTTCCCGGGGTGTGATGTTCCCCATCCTTTTTTTTTTTTTTTTCATACCTAGTTTACTGAGCGTTTTTTTTTTTTTTTTTTTTTGAATTTTGTCAAAGGCCTTTTCTATTTTTTTTTTTTTTTTCATGTGGTTTTTGTTGTTGGTTCTTTTTTTTTTTTTTTTTACGTTTATTGATTTGTATATGTTGTTTTTTTTTTTTTTTCCAGGGATGAAGCTGACTTGATCGTTTTTTTTTTTTTTTTTGATGTGCTGCTGGATTTGGTTTGCTTTTTTTTTTTTTTTGATATTCATATCCATGTTCATCAGGTTTTTTTTTTTTTTTTTCTCTTCTTTTGTTGTGTCTCTGCTTTTTTTTTTTTTTTGGATGATGCTGGCCTCATAAAATGATTTTTTTTTTTTTTTCTCTTTTTCTATTGATTGGAATAGTTTTTTTTTTTTTTTTACCAGCTCCTCTTTGTACCTCTGGTTTTTTTTTTTTTTTTATCCATCTGGTCCTGGACATTTTTTTTTTTTTTTTTTTTTAATTATTGCCTCAATTTAAGAACTTTTTTTTTTTTTTTTTAGGGATTCAACTTCTTCCTGGTTTATTTTTTTTTTTTTTTATGCGTCCAGGAATTTATCCATTCCTTTTTTTTTTTTTTTTTTACTTGCATAGAGGTGTTTATAGTTTTTTTTTTTTTTTTTTCTGTGGGATAGGTGGTAATATCTTTTTTTTTTTTTTTTGTTGCATCTATTTGATTCTCCTCTTTTTTTTTTTTTTTTAGTCTTGCTAGCTGTCTATTTTGTTTTTTTTTTTTTTTTTCCAGCTCCTGGATTCATTGATTTTTTTTTTTTTTTTTTTTGTCTCTATCTTCTTCAGTTCTGCGCTTTTTTTTTTTTTTTCTTGCTTTCTGCTAGCTTTTGAATGTTTTTTTTTTTTTTTCTCTAGTTCTTTTAATTGTGATGTTTTTTTTTTTTTTTTTGATCTTTCCTGCTTTCTCTTGTGGGTTTTTTTTTTTTTTTTAAATTTCCCTTTACACACTGCTTTTTTTTTTTTTTTTTTACTTTGGTACTTTGTTCTCATTGGTTTTTTTTTTTTTTTTTATTTCTGCCTTCATTTCGTTATTTTTTTTTTTTTTTTTTAGGAGCAGGTTGTTCAATTTCCACGTTTTTTTTTTTTTTTGAGTGATTTTCTTAGTCCTGAGTTCTTTTTTTTTTTTTTTGTGGTCTGAGAGACAGTTGGTTAAATTTTTTTTTTTTTTTCATTTGCTGAGGAGTGTTTTACTACTTTTTTTTTTTTTTTTTTTAGACTATGTGCAATGTGGTGCTTTTTTTTTTTTTTTTTCTGTTGATTTGGGGTGGAGAGTTTTTTTTTTTTTTTTTAGGTCCGTTTGGTCCAGAGTTGAGTTTTTTTTTTTTTTTTCCTTGTTAATCTTCTGTCTCATTGATTTTTTTTTTTTTTTCAGTGGGGTGTTAAAGCCTCCCATTTTTTTTTTTTTTTTTCCTAAGTCTCTTTGTAGGTCTCTAATTTTTTTTTTTTTTTATCTGGGTGCTCCTGTATTGGGTGCTTTTTTTTTTTTTTTAGTTAGCTCTAATTGTTGAATTGATTTTTTTTTTTTTTTTTAGTGGCCTTTTCTTTTTTGATCTTTTTTTTTTTTTTTTTCGTTTTATCAGAGGCTAG